ATAAAGTTATAAAAATTAAAATTAAATATTAAAACTTCCATTTTTTTAACAGAGGCAAATTACATGTTTTTATATTTCTATGTTTTTGGTTGGGGCTAGCGCTAAGGTGCCCAGTAACTTAAAGTAAACTTACATTATTTTAATTTATTTGCCAAACGCGATAATCTTTCTATACTAATTGAACGGGCGATTCACTGGCGATTGTTTTAATTAATCTAAACTGTTGCCAATTAGGTTAAGTAATGAGATATTTTGCTAACCAAAATTAGTGATTTGTACAATTGTAATGACTATTTTATTTAATTATATGAAATAAGAAATTTAATTTTAATTAAAATGTTAAACAAAATATCATGGTGTGACCCATAAATCGACTTCTTACAATAATTTTTGTTAAATACCTTTTATTTTATTTGTTCTTTTATATTATTTATTTGGATCGTTTTAATACTATTTACATAGTATCGCATTTCGAAAAACAAAACAATAAAGTATTTAACAAATTTTTAAATGAATAATCAATTTAAGTAGAGTCAAAAATCAATTATGTTCAAGTAAATATATGTATGTATGTACAGGGTTAGGCAAGTTACCTATTCATTTATTTTACATTTTTGAATAAGGTCTATATAAAAAGAAGTATCTCATTAGACATTTGTAATACTTTACAATCGAAGATGTTTGATTAATTCATCCGAATCAAACACGGAAATATTTCTTTTTAACTCTAGCCTATTAAAAGAAGTGTTCCTCAAGGCAGTAAAATTGACTTGTATAATAGGTCTGTTTCAGGAGCTACTCGTATTAAAACTCAAGTAAAACACAAGTAAAATTTACACGAAAATACACAAAAATTTGCTGGTGGAACACACTTGTGTACTATATACACAGTGTTACTCAAAGTCACTACGAGTAGCTCGTGGAACAGACCCATCAAATTTGAAAATACTTGAATTTCACTACTAAAACTTTTTCATGTTCATATATATATTCATATCATAATATATTTGGCAACTAAATATCACATTAAATACTGTTAAGTATGTAAATTGATTATAAGGACGACAAATGAAAAATGCTTAGAGGTAAAAAATAAATAAAGTTACAATTAATACAGTACTGCTAAAATAAAGCCCTCAAAACTCTATGTTGAATTCTCCCAGGACCATGGTTTCAATGTAGCATCTATCTTCACTGAAATAAAGAAATTAACAGAATCCAACTAGGAAGACATGAATTAGGAAGCTTAGAAATTGCTTTATGCAAGAGACTGGTGGCACAAACTCAGTAATATTCTCTACAATATACAATAATAATTCATGTATAACCACGTACATATATACGTATTAATACTGTTATAATTATACTGTCTAGGTAAAAATATAATTTCTTGGAGCAAAGAATCATCTCTCGCATTCACGCCACTATATATACATATACGTAAAGTACATAATAATTAGTAAATAAAGATTTTTGTTATTTTTTTATTTATTTTGAATAATTACAATCAGATATAAAAAGTAATATAAATTCAAATTTTATATTTTTTTTAAATGTTGATTGAAGGTGTGAATTCATATCGAATGTGCAAGTACAATAATTATATATGAATACAAACACAAATCTGGATTAA